TCAATATCGTCCACCTTATTCTAGGCCTATATATCTACCTCAAGCTCAGCATCCATGGCCATATCATCGTCCTCTTCTTTTTCTTCCCCTTCAAGTTGAAATAGAAGAGGTTTTGAGATGATATTATTTAAAGATATTAAGGTTGAGGTTAAAAAATTTAAATTATACCCTATTCTTGGCTAAATCAAAGGCATCGAGCATTTTAACCTTAGATAACTTTATTTAGAGCTAGAGGAATTCAGAGGAAGCCTTGAAGTTCTTAACAGTTTTTTTTCTTTAAATATTTTTTCTCCCTCTTCTTAGCCTCTAACTTAAACTTCAGCCTTACTATCTCGCCCTAAACATCATTAAGCTTAAGCTCAGGCTACTTCTTTATAGATTTAGTTAAGGCTTTTATCAACCAGGATGGCCTACAGCTTCGTTGTCAATTCACCATTCCTTTTTCACTAGTCAACCTCTTTTTTATAGGATGCACTAAAGTTGGATCTGACATTGCTTAGAGCGTTTGAGCTTTTTCTATGCTCCTCAGCTAGGGTAGCTACATCATTTTTGAACTTGAGCAAATAGGCCATAGCAAGGTAAATGTGGTGAAGGACTTAGCTAGTGTTGTCCAAGAGTTGAGGTAGGAGCTTCTGTTAGACTGCATAGAATAAACTTAGACTTAGTAAAATAAAAAAAAAATCAAGCTGGAGTTAAATAGTACTTACTAATGAGAGGAATAATGACTTTGCAAAACTTTCTCATCATGTTGAGGTTCTCAGTGGGGTTCTCAACAGGAGTATACTCCAACCTTGTGTAAATCATTTTCGAGTTAGGCTTTAGCCCCTTTGCCTCAATTTTTCAAGGTAGAAAAGGAGGCTTCGACCTTTGGGTTTTTTAGCAAGAAAAGATGCTGCAAAGAGCTTTCGACGAGTTATAAACTTTATTTTTTGAACAATAGGGGAGTGCTAGGTCGAGAGATTAATGACCTTGTCTTTTTCATGAGAGAGGCCCTAAGTTGAACTTTTTGCTTTAGGCTTTTTTGGGCCTATATGCATGTTAAAACAGGGAGAAGTTAAAGTCTTTATTAATGGACATCTCTACAAAATTAGGCTAACAGTTAGAAAAAAATTAAGTTAAAATAAAATTCTACGAGGTTACCTAACACTTACTCCAGTACTTTGTCTCATTTATTACTTCGAGAAAGGTTAGCCTATGGGCATCAATGATGAACCCTCCCTTATATGTGTACTTTATTATTTTATCTCAATTTAATAGATTTAAGACAAAGAAAGCTACTAGTACATCTATAAAAATGCTAAGCTTATTTATTATCTCTCATGCCTCAACCTTGACAATGGCCCCAACCTCAATCTCATAATTTTTATTTATTTTTTGCTTTTGAAGGCAAAGGAAGAGCAGCTTTCAATTTTTTTATAGAGCTTAGGCAATCGACAAATAATTTTCTATTGAGCTAAATTGTTACGTAATATCGCCTCTTATCACTAGGGTGCTTTTTAATGAAAAAAATTTCTTAAATAGAGGGAGAGTGGGAAGAATGTTTAGATGTTGATAAAGAATGATAAAGCCTACTATATACTATATAGAATTAAGAGTGAGCTGAGTGATAGTCAAATTATAAGAATTAAAATTGAAACAAACAGATAATAAAGTGGAAACCTTAGACTAACCATAAATGAATCCTAATATACATAAAGCTACTATGACTGCAGTTCATCAATGACTCAATCTAAGAAGTTTGACATTAATATGATATACCTTTTTCTGAAAAGAAAAAAAAAGTCATCACCAGAGCACAGACATGATGAGGTGAACACATGTTAAGTAATCTTCAAGATTAGCCCTGCCCTTTAGTTCATTTATCACATTTTTCGAGATCATATCGGGATCACAAAAAGTATATACAAAACCTCGATCAACTCATTATGCTCTTCAAAATTTCCTTTCTCACCATTATTTTCTCTAGTTGAGGTACTTTTTTCCCTTTGTTTCTCCTCGAAACCCTTCTCATTATCAAAATCTTTACCATCAGAAGACTTTGACTCTTGAATAGGAGTAAGATTCCAAAGTTGAACCATGGCTAAAAGTAACACAGCCTTAAGGGAAGAAAGACGATGTGAAGACCTTTTAAGAGAGGAAATGATCTTAATATGAACTAACTGATGAGGAATAAAAGTGACAATGGGAGCATCTATAAGTGAAAGAGTAGAAATAAAAGAAAATTGATGAGATTGAACTCTAGAAGAAGGAACAACTGATAATAAAAGAAGATCAGCCATAGAAGATGATTCGACTTGAAAGATGGAGAAAAGAGGTGGATTGTGTAAGTCAAAATCTATTTAAGCACATAGTTTCTCTATGCTCAAGGCCGTTCTGTTCTTATCCGAGTGTGGTCCTCATTTTGTTATTGCCTTTCTTTAGACATCGAGTTAAACTAGAAGGCCGCCATCTGACAATCATGACCTCCAATGATTGGTGAAATCAGGTGTTGTCATCCTACTTGAACTTACCCCCCTTAGGTTCTATCCTAAAACTTTCAGCCTCTACAAAACTAAAACTAAAAGATATAATTGAAAGTATGTATCGAATAAAGCAAAAAAACAAGCGATAATAAGAACAACCCTAAGGCAAAAAAGCTTTTAAAATAAAAAATTTAGATCGGATGAAAAGCAAAGAAAGTAGTAAATGTAAGAAATTAAAGCCCCAACAGCTCTTTATATAGTCGCCCCTCAGATAAGATAAACAGCACAGACTATACCATGTGTCAGAGAAAAATGAGAAGACATCTTTTTGTCTTCTCTTTTTAAATTTTCCCATTCAAACTAACCATCTCTTCATTTATTGCCACCTGAGATCAACCAAACCAGACGGATCCTAGGTCAAATTAGCTAGAACAATGACTCTTTGAGACAGACCGAATGCTCAGATTATCATCAGAGTTCAAAGTAGAGACTTGAATCCAAACTTTTAAAATAAAACACAAGTCTCATGTCGATAAGATGAACTCAATACTAATCTTAGATCATCCCAAACAATTAACACACCGACGACCTTCAAACCAGTTATGCACTCAACCTAAGACATACGCACAAAATCAACCCTCATAAAGTCGGACCATGACTTAAGGCTAATTGTTTCCCAATGCTGATCTCCTCTATGACGTCAACTGGAAAGAATCAAATTTCACGTCATCTTCTTTTACCTATTTGCCTTGCACAAAATGTGTCGATCGCACACCCAGCAGTTTGATACTGCTTGATAGGGGAACAAAATGTTGAGGACATTTAGTGGTCAAAAGGATATAGTGATCTTTCTCCATGTTAAAAGGCTTCAGTAGATAGCCAGAGGTAATTCTGACATTTATGCTGACTTGACATATCATGTCGGTCTAATATACTCAATGTCACGTCAACTTGACCACATCTTTATTGTCCTCTATCGCTTATCTATAAATATGAGTATCCAGGCACCATTAAGGCAAGTCCAATCTATTTCTAATTCTCCTTATTACTCTCTTTTCGACTTCACTCATTTTGACTTACACTTCAAGTACAAACACAGTTAGCATTCATTGCCTTTACCTTTAATTATCTTTTTTTTTTAAATTTTTTTAAGAATATCTTAAGATCAAAACTCAGTGCAAACAACATTGAAGGCCAAAAGGAAGTGGTGTTGCTTGCCCTATCCATGTCCCAGTGGTGTGGCTTGCAAGTCAGTACTCTCCCTTTTTCTCTGTATTTTTTTATTTTTACTTTTTGTCTTAAGAATATACATATTGATAATTATCTTGTAAAGGACTAGGTAAGTCGTCCTAGGGACAGATATTTTGCCTTGGGACACATAATCGACTATAGCAAAATGTCATGCATTATTGTGTTGGTCCATACATACCGGGTTCTGTGGTACCATATTTCAGGGCCTACTTAGGGTAAAGTTCTTGTGAATTTATTCTTCATCTCATTGGATCCATTCATACAGCATAATAAGGACCCAAATAAGTATCTTCCGTATTGTCTCTGCAGAATAATGTAGCGTAGTTCGTCTAGCTTTCTGTTTTGCCTTGAGGATTGTCCTTTTTCACCTTGCCAAATCTATGAATAACATAACTTTATTGATAACCTGAGATGAAAAAGATCAAGGGAAAAAACACCTTACCCTATGTAAAAAGTACTACTCCTGAACAAAAAGTGAGTCTGTCCAAACTTTAATTCGATTGACAATATGACTTGACTTGATTATAATTTATGTTTTGTTCCTTAGCTCATAGCACAATTACTGATCTAATAGAACTTGTGACTATATACTTCCAAGATGTATATAAAACCTAGAAATATAACATTCAGTATACACTAGCATTTGTTTCTTGAATGGATTTTTAAGGAGATTTTTGAGTGATTCAATTGAGCATAGCCAATTCAAATTATTGGTGATGCAGGTGAGCGTCGGGGGACACATCGGAAGGGGATGGTTATTATAGGCAGTGTTCATGTGGCCAGCACTGCAGCTTCAACCCATGCTCATGCGCCAATGCTGTCGCTGGGACTGGCATTGGCATTTGGCAAGGCTTTTTGCAAGTGTGGGAAGGGTTGTACTTGCCCTAATTGTGCCTCTTGATCTATCCATCTGCAGTTGTTGCTTTTTTCTGTTGTTTTATACTACTGACTGCTACTTACTTTTGGTCATGTCTATCATGTAATTAACATAAATGAGTGAGCATTACGGATATGGAAAAGCTCAAAAAGAGTGCTAACTTTGTGAATTGTACATGTGACTTTAATCTGTCTGAGACTTGAAGGTTTTTTTTTTTTTTTTTGAGAATTTTCTTTTCTTTTCCACAAAAGATATGAAAATGACCTGAGCCTGTATGTGGTGGTTTACACTTGAAGAATCTAGTGTCCTACCTGACGATAAAATTTTACATTTGCAGACTCCTTCATTTCCATGTAAAACATGCTTTATATGCTTAAGCAATTGAAGAAAGTCGTCGAGAATGGCTTCATTTACTTGTATGACGACAAGGCACTGAAAAATTGATATGAAGCTAAACAAATTCATCACGTACCAAATTGATCTTGAGAAGTTAGTCGAACTTGATTCAGAACTTGAAATGTTTAAAACATTAAGCATCGTTATTTGGCACATGGCTGGAAAAAAATTGAAAATATACAACTTGAAACGTTTAATTATTCTCAATACAATTAATTCCAATTGAATTAAAATTGTGTTATATATTATATATCATCATCTGTATTAATCCCTGCCCCCACCCTGTTCCAATCCCATGGGCTTTACTGTTGTTTAGAGAAAAATTTCAGTGAAATTCTTTGGTGTTTGCAGTTATATTGTTGAGATTGTCACATATCACAAATGGTGAAATCCCAGCAAAGCCAGCACTTTTTACAAGCAAAATTCAACCAAAATCTTAATCCTGGACCAATGAGGATTCTAGCACACGTGTTTGCAGCGGCACAGCTTCATGAACTCTTCATGAACCTCGTTTGACACGTATCGCCATGTGTTAGTTCTCCATAATTCTTTTGCCCCACTTGGTTTACATGCAAGATTTTCAGAACACCAGTTAAATGCAATACACAGGTCACAGCTTCACAATTCACAAAACAAACTGCAAAAAGAATACAACAAGACAGAAAAATGACGGATGCCAGGTCTGAAGTTAGAGAGGTTGTCGTGTGTATTGATACGTATAATTGGGACTTTCGGGCCATTTAAACATGCAATATCTAGCCGGCAGATAGGGAAAGTATAAATCTTGCTCTAACATGCCATTCGTGCCAGCCGAATGTGTGCAGTATCTTGGTAGATATTTTGCTCTGACAAGCTGTCCATATAGACAGTTGTGAGTCTTGCGTCTGCCCAACTGTCGTGCCCTACGAGACGCCCTCTCTTTGATTGTTCTCCCAATTGTTATGGTGATACAATCCATGACCAACTTGGCTGTCTGTCATTATTTACATCGACCACCCCATTAATTGACAAAAAGATGGTTCAGACACACCTTTATAAATTAAACCTGAAATTTTAACTCTTCTGGCACCTAATTCCTACATACCTAAGTTTTAGTCCAATTCAAAGAGTGATTACGTTGTGATGATCATGATATTATGGAAATAATCAAACAGATGCACAGCCAGCAAGACTACGAGTGGGACAGACCACAAGCGGTGCTCGTGCAGGGAGCTCTGTGGCTGCAATCCATGCACATGCACCAAGACTGAAATCGCCGGGACCGGAAAGCTGTTTTGCAAGTGTGGGACGGGTTGCACCTGCGTCACATGTGCCTCTTGAGCATGACCGGTTTTCAATGTTGTAAGCTTGAGCAAGTTTGTCCAATATGTTGTTTCGTCATGCATGAGAATAATGACCGTTTAGTTCTGTAATGTAGGGACTTTCTCTTGCTCTGTTGCAAGAGAAGTATGTTGTAACTGTCAGCAATGTATGAGAATAATGGCCTTTTAGTTGAAAAACTTGGTTTGCATGTATTTATGATCTCTGAGTATGTTTTCTCACTAAATAAGTGGGTCAGTTAAATCCAATGATCTACTTTGGCATCTCTATTTGGTAAGTTACTGTATGCTCTTTCCAGAGATCCTCGTCCAAATATCTTTCATAAAAGTACATCTCCCCATTTGGTGCCATGTAGGCCCTGCACAACGGAAAACAAACTCAAGGACTGACTTTGGTTGTGAACTTTCCTATTTGATGAAGGAAAATATTAGACTACCTGGGGACCAGTTATATCTACATATATGGCACTCAAATGATATTCAAACTCAGGACTATATATGCCAGGTAAAATGCTTAAATCATCTTTGCTCGTGTCCATCATTAGTTCTGCAAAATTCTCTTTAAGGGGAAGTTCATCTTTACCATATCTGACCAAGACCTACTTGAAATTATAATCTAATCGTTGAGCTTGCAAAAGACAAAGTAGAATGAGCAATATCAAGATTGCTGATAGCCAAGAGAAAGGCCTATAAAACATAGCAGAAATACAAACACGAAACAAACTAAGCAGCAGTGATATAATGTCAATAGCTAATTTCTTTGACCAATATTGGCAAGATCATCAAAGTGAATAGGACAGGAAAAATCTTTAACTTCAGAAAAATTAACCTTGTCAACCAGCTATAAGGAAAACAGAACGAACTGATATATTGTGAGCTCAACAAGTGACCACTTTGCAAGCAAGAAATGCATTTTATTAGACTTTAAGAATATCCACTACACGTGAATCGTCAGGCAAATGTATCTATTATTATGTGTCAAACTTACATAAAATATAAAAAATCTATTCTTTTGTGTCAAACCTACGTAAAATGTATCTATTAGTATGTGTTTCTAAAAGAATCATGTTTGTGTCGTATTTTTTTAAAATATAAAAAATATCTCAATTGAAATGCAAAACACAAATATTTTTTTATATATAATTTTTATTAAAATTTTAAATTATCACTTTTTTCGTATCATATCATATTTAGCATTGCTAGATCTATTTAAAAGTGCAATTCGGATTTATTTAAGGGCAATTAGGATGTATTTAACTATTTATTATGTAACAGCAAACGCCAGATAAAAGTATTGGCAGGCAAGGAATAGAAACTAAAACTTTTTTAACAGATTCAGTTATTTAGTCGAAAAAGTATAACATACCTCCTTACCTTAAGCCACAGTGAATCTAGGTTTGCGTGTGATAGCACATGAATCCCAGATGAAACCTCTGTGACAAAGTTGCCATTTTCCTTCGGTCTGTTTGCCAGATAAACCATGGATTTTGAGCAGAGATCAACCAATATCAGATTGAACCCATTATACTGATCTGCCTCCTTCACCACTTCTTTGGCAAATTCAATGGGCTTCTTCTTGCTCTGAAATTATGAAAACCCACAATGAATTGAGGCTTTCTTAATAAAATTCAAAGAGGTGGATCCAAATGGAGAATTAGGATGTCCATGGACATCCTCAAAGATTAAAGAACAAGAAAATTTAAAGAAAAAATTTTCCCTGGACACTCCCAAAATTTTTTCCTGCAACATCATCTTCATGGATAAAATTAATAAATTATTAATAAATTCGTTATAATTTTTAATATATATTATAAGTGAAACCCCAAAAAAATGAACCCACCACTAAAAATTCATCCCCAGCAAAAGGAATAAGTCCAATTGAAAAATACTATAGAATGTATTCATTCAAATACCAAGATCAAACATGTAATGACAAGTACCATAGAATGTATTCGTTCAAATACCAAGATCAAACAAGTAATGACAAGCACTAAGCAAATTGGTTATCAGAAGTGTTCAGATATTGTTGGTTAGGGTCATGCACCCAACAACACTAGAACAAAAGGATCTCAGATTAGCAAATTACAAATTAACATAATGGTAATTTTCATAATTCAAATAGCATTAAGGGAAGTAGGATAGAAAGTGGCTCCAGGTCGCTGTTAACAATGTTGCTGATGACCCATCATATGGCAAAAATGAGACTCAACATTAGGCCGTTAAAGCATTTTTATTTAACAAATTCCAAATGTTTAAGTTTCTTCCAACTTCCAGCACTTCCCCAAGAAAAGAACCTATCTAATATTGGCTATGGCAATTAAAGAAACTGGAAACAAGCTTAGTTTTCCAATCTTGGAGTACCTAACATTGGTTTGTGCTTATCTGATTCTCATAAACAGAAATCGGTGGAAAAGGAAGGTAATAAATGTAGTCTAAAGCAAAGCAGTGTCAAGGATTAATCCCCAAAGAATAGCCTACTGCTGTCCAAGGTCGGATTAATCCACAATAACTGTTTTCTTCATTAACATTAATTTATGGTATCCTACTTTCTTAAATGAAGCTTTATTACGCGAAGTGAGATTTAACATAGTAGTAAAATGGAGATCACTCCTTCATAAATAATCAGACAACCACCTAGGAACAACCGACTACTGGATGAACAATGACCCAAAAAGTAACTTACCTTTCCAAAAGTCTACAAAAGATCAAGCTACAATTGTCCCAACAAAAATTCAGTAATTACTGATTGTTCAAATCATCGACATGCAAAGACAAAAGGCAATAGAAACCAAGGTCACAACAAATGCAGGAACGGGCTCATGATTGATCAAATAAATACTAGAAACAAATAGGGTTCTTCAAAATCAATCATAGAAATATGAAAAGAAACGTGCAGAAATTGAATCAATAAGAAAACGATTTTACCTGCAAGAAACGAACAGAGAGGTGTCCTCTAGTCTTAGTATGAGGTCTAGAATGGAGTTCCCTAAAATTGGTGATAAAAGTCAACCTTCCATCCCTCGAAGAAGCCAACCATGTCCCACCAGCCTGCACATCTCTGCCTCCTAGAATCTCTCCACCCTCCCACCATCCTAATGGCTTTGTCGGCCTTAAAACACCCACGATTCCAAGAAACAAAAATGACCACAGATTCTTAGGACTCCATTAAATGAAAAATAAAAACAAACAGAAAACATAAAGAAGGCATATTTACCGGCTGTGATACTCGTCTCTGTTCAGAAATAAAAGGAAAGGGTAAAGTGGGTGGGTTTCCCACATAAACACCGCTATGCACATGATCTTTCATCAAAGTTGAAATCTTCCTACAAAAATCAAACCCACCAGATTTTGATGGCTTTGGGGTGTTTTTTTTCTGCTCCAAAAATCTTATGCAATTGGCAGTTTTCTCTACTGGTACTGCTGCCAAGATAGATAGAACCGCGCACAGTGGATCCTCCACGTCATCATTTGTCAGGCTATCCTTTTGTTTGACTTTTCCACTGAAGACTTTGACCCAGTCCTGCCACGTCATTCTACGGTTAGATTTGGGATGTTAACCACACGCGGTCAAAAGTAGTTGAAAAAGTTCCTGGCCTTCAGCAACTGCCACTCGAAGCATATCACTTAGTGTAACAGTATAGTTAATCAATTAAAACTATTTAAATTTTATTGGAATTTTATATAAAATTTATATCTACGAGTGATGAATTTTTATATAAATTTTTATTATATAAATTAAATTATAAAATTAAAATAAAAAATAATAAGTGAAATGCTTGTATTCAAACGCCAAAGGCGAAAGATAGAAAAAAGACACGCTTGTTTGTCATCGTTGTTGTTGTTGAGCATGTTCTTCCCTTAGAAACGACTCCACTCAAATCTGAAAGGTCTTTACCAACACGTGTCAACCTCAATCTTCTTACGTGACCATCACGTGCCAATGTCCTAAAAGTCGTTGATAAAAATAAAATTAAACATCTTTCAAAAAATGGGTAAAAACAAAATAATTATTTTTCAAAAATTAAATTAAAAAAAGTTGGACCATGTTTGTTTCTCTTGTAAGGAGAAGAGAAAGAAACAGAGAGAGAGAGCTATGGGTAAGATAGTGGAGAAGAAGAGGAAGAAGAAAGGAAGACCTTCTCTTTTAGATCTTCAAAAACGCAGCCTTAAAGAACAACAGCAAAATCAACAAAACAACAAGAGAAATGTTTCTGCCCCTCAAATTACTCCTAATTACGACTCTGCCACTGCCAATCCTCTTCGTCGATCCACCCGCCAGAATCCCAATCATTCGTCAGGCGATAACGATAACGAAGACGACGAAGGGAAAGAATTGACCGGGAAAAAGCGACGCGAGAAGAAGTTGAAGCTGGTTCTCAAATTGCCTTTCTCGCAGAAACGATCGCCGGTTACGTCAGAATCCCGCGGCTCCGATTCGAATCTCGAGGAGAGCAACGCCGGTTCAAGTCACAAGAAGAGGAAAGTCAATTCGATCGGGGATGGATCTGGAATTGCTGATACCAAAAAGGTTTGCAAAATTTAAGGTTTTTTGAAAAAAGATAAAGTTCCAATTTTTAGAGTGTGTTATTTTATGGGTTTAGATTTGAGTATTTTAACTGGTTTTTGAAAAAAAAAAAAAAAAGCGCCAAGTATTTTTCTTCCTTTGACGAAATTGAAGATTCCTTGAATTTCGGGCCGGAGAGTTGGTGGGGCGGTTTCTACTATTTTAAGTAAATAATGGGGGCCTTTTACTTATTCCCAGTTTTTTTTTTGGAATTTCTGTTTGAAAATTTTAGTGATTCCTTTTTTATTTTTGTTTTTTACAAAAAAAAAAAAAAAACTTTTTGAATTTATTTATTTTGTTAGTTGGGGTCTTTAATTACTCTCCCAGAGATAATAATAATAATAATAATAATAATAATAATAATTTTGATCGTGATAGTTGATGAAAAGTTCAAATAATAATAATAATAATAATAATAATAATAATAATAATTTTGACCGTGATAGTTGATGAAAAGTTCAATTTTGTCCTTTCTTTTTTCGTTATTGTAGTTCTTTTTCACAGTTTGTGACTGTGTTTTGCCTTTTTCAGGACTTTGAATGCTACGCTACTTTGCTTTTTCACAGCTACTTTGCTTGGTGTTGGTGGTTCCTCACCCACTTAAGGAAATAAAGCCTGTTGTTTGTTCATTTACTAATTGTTATTATTATTTTCCTTTTTTGTTATTTATTTCAGGAAGAGAAGTATGTTTCTTTCTTAAACCCCACAAGCAACAGCCAAGGTTTGCTTATGATCCAATATCCATTAACTCAAAAAACAGATTTTTTTAGGGAATTTTGTTTATGATCATTGTCAAAATGTGTAGGTAGTCAATTGGATTCGGGGCCCTCATCAGCTTTACCAGACAAAAAGCTGTTACTATTCATCCTAGACAAGCTTCAAAAGTATTTCAATAAGCTCCCATGATATTTAGTTTGATTTCTTACATGTGGCTTTTGGTGATCAGTTCTCTCAATTCTGTTCCTTTTGAAATTAATAATTTCAGGAAGGACACACATGGCGTGTTTTCTGAACCAGTGGACCCTAAAGAGGTATGATCCACAAATAATGGAACATGTACTTATTGTTGTTATTAAACCTTCTTTTTCTTATTTGATTTCTGTTTTCATGCAGCTACCAGACTACCATGAAGTTATTGAGCATCCGATGGATTTCGGAACTATTAGGCATAAACTTTCTAGTGGTGCTTATGCCAACTTAGAACAGTTTGAGGTTGGTTTATATGTTTGTCAATTTATTTTTGCCTCCTCTCATCTATCATTTTTTATTATTTTAGCATTCCATTGATTGTGTTCTTTTCTGCTTAGCTGGATTTTCAACTTCCCGTTTAATTCTGCTAAAACCACCTAGAGGTGATTCTGAACTGGCTTTTTAGTTTGGACTTGGCAGACAGGGCAGTTAGAATGGATGTTGTTACATTTCTCTCTCTATTCCGCTTCTTGTTTGTTTCATGATTCCATAATAGTCGTTATTCTTAAAACTTAGAGATTTATTTGTTGCCAGGTGGTGGATGTTGATCTCAACTAAGTAATATTTCAATTGAAATACTGCAAAATGAGTGCCTTGGTTCATTAATGGCCTTTTACTTGGATTGCTTCCATGGAAGCTTTAGATTGCCTGTGATCTGTAGGAACAATGATTCCAGCCACTAGCATAAGTGCTATGTTGGTCTTGTAATCCTGGCTTTGCATCCTGCTGGATTCATTGATTCCAAAAGTTGTGAAGCAATTAGCATAACCGCTGAACATAATATGAATCCTGTTTTATATCTATGATACATATGTGGTTTGAAGAATCATGGTTTTAGCTCCTTTTCCTAAACTGCCATCATGTTTCTTTGTCTCTGTGCCTTGTGGCAATTATTTGTTTAGTTGCATTCATTGGTAGTGAATTCCTTTTCAGGTGATAGGTGCATTTTAGCCTGCCTAATTATTTTTATTGCCATATGTGATTTCTACTTCTATGTCTTTATTTCAATTTCTAGGAGCATAAAGGTCTGCTTTAAAGTGATCCAACTTCAAATAATCCTTTTGATGGTTGATAGCGCTATTGTGGAATGAACTTGAATGTAGGGCTATTGAACAAAATTTTGTTATTGCCATGTTTTTAAGTGTCACTTGGTACTATTGGGAAAGCAAACCTTGAATTTACAGCGTATGCTACAATTTTGGCTTCCTTTCGTAGATAACAAAGCATGCTTACATAAATGCAAGAAACTTGCGTGTGTTTTTTTGTTGTTAGTAGTCATGGTCTTCAACTTGTCTGCTCCACTTTCAGTATCATTTCTTTGTTCTCTGAATAATGAGATGCATGGAGTGGGAATAAGGAAAAGGATGAAAGGCAAAACATGTTTTTATTTAGTTTTCTTGTTAGTGCACATCCGTTGGTGGTGTAGGTTCTGGTGATGTTTAGAGATTATGTATGAAGCTTACACAGTTGAGAAAAGAAAGAAAAAGAAAAATGTCATGCAGTTATTCAATTTGTTTCATTGCACCAAATTCAAACTGCTGTTAAAGCAAATTTAAGAATGTAATTTCCTTATATTTGAGATTTGAAACATACCTTCATCTGTATTCTGGATGAAGAGATGAGGCACTTAAGTTATTCTCTTCCCACCACAAATTATTAAATGAAAAAAAATTAGAGGTGTAATCTGGTCAAAAGCCATCTCTGCTTGATGCTTTGATTTATTTCTACAAGAAGCTAAAATGTTGGCATATGTGAATAGATTGTTTCCTTTTGTTATCATGCAGAAAGATGTTTTCCTCATATGTTCGAATGCAATGCAGTATAATGCACCCGATACTATATATTTTCGACAGGTATGGTCAGGTATCAACTGCTAATTTATATTGGAGGTCAACTTTATATTTTGTCTGAAAACTTTAATTTGTTACCAGGCACGATCCATACAAGAGCTAGCAAAAAAGAACTTTGAAAATCTAAGGCATGATAGTGATGATAATGAAGCAGAACCAAAGGTGATCAGGAGAGGAAGACCTCCAACCAAAAATTTCAGGAAGCCACTAGGCAGGCCTTCCTTGGAGCGTGCTGCATCAGAATTTTGCTCGGATGCCACCCCTGCTACTGGGGCAGAGAACACCATATGGTCCAATCATGACATGAGGAAAGGACCTCTTGCTTCTGACAAGTCTAATTTTGCAGATTCATCTGGAAAATTTTATGGTTCTTGCAATGATGTTACTGGCTGGTTTACTGAAATCAAATCTGATAGAAGTGATGAAGGTACAGGTCAAATACTGTAGAACTTTCTCCTTTTCATGTTGCTTCTCCTATAGTTCTCATTAGTTCTCACCGTCTTAGTTGTCCACCATTTTATGAGAAGGCAGTGAAGCATTTGTCTTTTCTTGCAGGTTCTATGTTAAAAGGTCATTTGATGAAGCACGGAAAAAGGCAATTTTTGTTGGATGAGAACAGACGTAACACTTATAATCTGTTTCATCCATCAGCTACTGCACAGGAGACGTCTGTGTTGACTACTTTTGATGGAGAGAGTAAGCAGCTATTGGCTGTACGTATCATATAGATGATGTATGATGATCTTTTAAATTCTATTGAGGAGAATACTGAAGCTCCTCACTACAATAAGTTATGTCCACAACCATTGGAGGTGGTTCAATTTTGAAACATCAATGATGAAATAAAACTTTAGAATATGTCTAGGCCGTATAATTTCAGAATTGCATGGTAATATGGATATGTTACTTATTTTCCTTCCTAGGTAGCGGAAAATGTTTGTTTGTTGGCACTGCAATACGTTATTTTCCTCACTGCAATAGGTTTTTTTGTGTTTGTTGGGGTCTGACGGAATCCTAAACAATAATAATGAAAGAGGTAAAGCTGTGGACTGTATGATTAGCACTTTTCAATTACATCAATTGTTTAGGTTGGAATTTTCCACTGGGGTTTGGGAAACTGTATTTACACTGTTCACAACTGCCCGTAGCATATGCTGCTCTATCCTTTCTGGTAGACCAGCTTGTGTGGGGAATCTTAGGTTTGACCTGTCTTTGATTAATTACTTGGTCTTCAGGTGAAGCAGGTGGGGGTATACTTAGAGCATGCTTACACACGAAGCCTAGCTCGATATGCTGCAAATGTTGGTCCTGTTGCCTGGAAAATTGCTTCTAAAAAGATAGAAAGGTGTTTACCAGGTGGAATAAATTTTGGTCCTGGATGGGTTGGGGAAAATGATGTTCCAGCACGGAAACTGCTGCTACTACCTTCACTCTCGCTTCCACCAGGCCAGCAGACATTATCACAGCCCTGCTCTGTTCGTCAAAATTCATGTTCTGCTAGGTCATCTTATGTCCTGGGAATCAGAGGAGATAAACAATCTGACAAGCCAGAAGCAGATAATTTGTCTGAGAAACATGTTCCTTCAGTTCACTCTATCTCAGGAGGCCATTTTATTAAGCCTATACCTGCATCTGGCACTTCCTCTTCATCCCTTTTGGCTACTAAAAGATCTCCTGAATCCTGGAATGAAAAGACAGAAATCAGTGAAGGATCTTCTGCAACTTGTTTTAACATGAGAAACAGCAGTGCAGGAGCAGTCAGGCCAAGGCCTCCCTACCAGATTCATCAAGGTCCTCTAATTCATCCTGGCATGAATGGATATAATGGTGCTTATGGGTTTAAGCTCCCACCTCAGATGGCGAAAATAATTGGGGCTGCCAGGCCTTCTGGGTTCAGTTTCCAGTCATCTCATAATATTGACACTGTCTCAAGGACTGCCACTAATTTTGTCCACCCGGCAACCACAAACTCAAACTCTGATGACCCTAAATTTTCAGAAAATTCATGTACAAAGAACCCCGGCTATCCATTACCAAATTCAGGATGTGAGCCAGTGGCTGCCCCAAGATCAGGGCTTCATCCACGACCGTCGTGGCAAGGATTATCATCACATCAGAAACCAGACTCTAGGTTGTCACCAAAACAAAAACCGGACTCAAGGTTGTCACCACAACAGAAGCCAGACTCAATTTCACCTGACCTAAGTATCAAATTTCAGTCTCCCGGGTCACCTAGTTCTAGTCGAGTTGATTCAGCTCAACCGGATTTGGCATTGCAGCTCTGAGCATAATTGGTATCATTATTTTTTCACTTTCAATTAAGTTAAACATAGAATGGTGAGTTTCAGAATTACTGCTCCTAGTAAGGTGATCGAGCAGGTCCTGTTAACTAGGAGCGAATGAAACCGCACTTTACTTGTAAACGAATAGGTTATTGATGTATAGATCAGTGTATGATGTAGCCTTAATTCATTTCTAGATGAAGATGTGTACTCTAAATTTAAATTTGTTATGAAGTTTCATAAAAGTAGATTTACAATACAATACATTCCAGATTGTATATTTCTGTATGTAATGTTGAGACATTTTGAGTTTGGATTATCGTATGACAGACAGATATCAAAAAAAAAAAAAGATCTAACTGATTGCAATTGCCAGTTTACTGCAATATACCGAGATATTCGAACTTCAAACATGTTGAGCAAAATTGGAGTAAAATCTTTGAATTGCAATTCCACTTTGCAGTAAATGGAAGGAATATTTGAGCTTCTTGGTGGCTTCCTAATACCCCTTTGCTTGTGGAACCGATGCGCCATTGCTTTTTCGACCGTTAAATTCTTTTAACAATCTTTAGATTTGATCTTTCATTCCAAGTGGTGGGGAACATATAAATTTGTTTTTTTGATTGCATGGAGTAGTTCTTTGATGTGAAATGCAGTCTAGCCACTGACAATTGTTTCTGTAACTCCTTATATTCTTCTTTTGGGCTAAAGAAGGAATTTTATTTAAAAGTGATTTTTTTTTAGTACAAATGATATCGTAAATTGAGAATAAGAAAAATTACATACATTAAAAATTAAATTTCAAAAGATGTTATATTTGTTGAAAATTTAATTTTAAATTTATTAAATGAATGATATTTTTTAAAAATAATTATATGAATTAACTTTTTGAATTTTAAATTTTATATAAAAGTATTTTTCTTTAATAACGTGTTTGGATCGAAGGAGGGTAAAAAATAAAAAAAATAATAAAAATAAAAAATCATCCCTTTATTTGAATAAATTTTTAATTTAAAAAAATAAAGGTGAAAATTCAATAATTTTTTATTTTTTTTGTAAATTCAAATTTTTTTAATACCTCAATTTAAAAAAAATTAACTTTTTTTTTTGAAAAAACTATCACATCCAGATTTTTATTAACGCTAAAAATCTAATCCAATCACAATTACAATCATGCAAACTGAGTCTAAAGATAATTGAGGCTCCATTTGTTTGCAAAAAATGATTTTTAAAAAATAATTTTTTAAAAATATGTAGATTTTGTGAATTGAAATAGATTTTTTGTTATTTAGATGAGTTAATGAAAAATATTTTTCTTATTTAGTTGTTTTATGAAAATTTTATTTTTTTAAATAATATTAATATACCTATTAAAATATTAAAAAGTATTTATTATTAAAATATATTGAAATTATTTATTCTTATAATTATTAATATTAAAAAATAATTATATTTTAATAATAATATTTAATATTTAAATATTAAAATAAAATAATTATTATTCTTTATATTATTTATTAATATATTAAAATATTATTATTAATAAAATTTTATTAATTATATATTATTACTATTATTTTATAAATAATAATATTATAATATTTATTAATATATAGCATAATATTATTTAATAATATTTTTATTAATATATTGTAATATAATATTATTATTTATAATTAAAATTATGGTTAAAAGTATTAATAAATAGTTATACTCATAAACAGTTTTTTTTTTAAAAATATCTTTTTTTTAATTTGTAAGTTAATTTTCAAAAAAATGATTTTATTTTTTATTGACCAGTAAATTATTTTTTATTGATCAATCAATTTTCTATTAAATAAATATCTGAAAATCTAAAAACTATTTTTTGAAAATCATTTTTGCCAAACAAACGGAGCCTAAGTAAACAGTATAATGAGTTAGAATGAGCAATAAAATATCCTTGGACTAGGAATGTATTACCTTTCCCTGACAGTTTAGGTTGGCAGAAAAACTAAATCAACTTTTTGGTCTTTGGCAATTATTATTATTATTTATGTTTTGATGAAATATATCAATTTAAAATATGTTTAAAAATTTATGTATTCAAATATCTTATTTTAAAGAATACAAATAAATATAAAATATTATACAAAAATCCTGTATGATTGATCCATACCCACTGAGACACTGGCGTACAACCTCAAATTACATGTTGTTTAATTTGCGTTAATTCACCAGTGCAACCTTTTTATTTTAAACTTTTTACATTTTATAGGTTTTATGTTGGAGTGGCAGTTTAGTCAAATTGAAGTATAATGTTACACGTTTTTATGCGTAAACGTGTAACATTCTTTTAATATAGGTTAAGCGGATAATGGTTGGGAGGTTAAAAGTGTATTAAGAATTGAAAAAAGTACAGTTGAATCCTTATTATTATTAGTCCAACAAAATAGGTTGAAGGGTTTATTTTTATATTATATGGTGTTTTATTAAAAACATTATAATTAAAAAATATTATAATGAATATTTTTTATTCCTTATTCAAACAATAATTATTAAGATTTTTTATTAATTTTAATTATAAAAATATATATATACACATCATTTTATTTCTTTAAAAAAAATTTTTCATTTACTTTCCTTTATTAATATAAAGAAGATTATAATATATCCTTTAAACTTAAAGCCATCCGGCCCCAGGAATTGTAAGAAAAAAAAAATGAGCTTTGCCTTTAATTGATAATAGGGGGCTTGGTTAAGAATAGCCCCTAGTTCTCCTAAAATGGGAAACAGGCTGTATATGACAATGGACATGCCACAAAACGATATGGCATGGAGAGAACAAAAGAGCAAGAGGATTTTTTTTTTTTTTTTTACCGATAATAGCAAGAGAATATGGTAAATAAGTAGCCAACAAATTAATAAAATGTATTAGAAAATTTATCTTTTTATTTGACCATTTTACTTGAAAACAAGTACGTGAAGTCTTGAAATTTTTTCTAAATTTAAGTTCAAAGCAAGTAATAATAAAAGATTTCATTTGTAAAAATTAAAATAAAATAAAGAGTGATAGTAAATAATATTTTGTAAACAATAGATTTTGCATAAAGTGGACTTTCGTGCTGCTATAGGGAAAAAAAGTAGTATAAAGTTGACCAAATAGAGATGGGAAAACGCAAATAAAGAGTGTCATGCAACGTTACAAGATTCAACTCTAAAATGAAACTTTTTTATTGTTTTAAATTTCAATTTATTGAAATGAAGAAAAAATTAATAAAAGTTTGAATTTAAATTAAAGTATGTTGGTTTATATAATTATTTTAAAATATAATATTTAGTACGTTTGATATTTAAATTTTAATATTTATAACTAAAAATATAAATGAATCAAATTACTTGTAAGTTATTCGATATCAACTTGAAAAATTTTAAACTAAACTTGTTTATTATTGACCCGAACTTGAATTACTCAAATAATTAATCAAATCAAGTTTCAAAGGTTCACGAGCCCAATTCAACTTTTTTAAAAAATATACATATTTAATACATATAAGTAAATAACAAAATTATAATAATATTTAATATCAATATTTATAATTTTATCAGACTCAATTGAATTTATAAACTAAATTTGAGAGATTGAATTAATTATGAGCCTAACTTGAATATAAAAAATAAAACTTGAGTTGAGTTGAGTTTCGAATTTTGAATTTTTAAATTAAGTTTAACTCAAAATTGATAGTATATCAATTTGATTTTACTCTAATGTACCTCTATCTATAATTATTTTTCTATTCTTAAATTATAATCTCTTTTCAAAAAAAAAAAAAAACAAAATTAAACCAAAAGGGGTGAAGTTCTAATAATTTCTTTTATGAAGGGGAAAATAAATGTGATATGAAGAAGAAACTGCCGGACTATTTCCTTGATGGTTCAGAGGCGTGGTTGGACCAGCAAATTCAGTTGAACCTTGAGGGGAAAACTAATTAAAAGTCAAAATGAAAGTGACTTATGCTATGATGTTTTTCTTACATCAGATTCCATGAACATGGACCAAACCATGATTTGTCAAGGAATTACAAAAAAAAACTACTATTATATATATATATATGGGATTAAAACAAATTTTATAATTATTAAAGAAGTATTTTGCACATTATCACTGATAAATCTAATAATTTGTATATTAATACGTATAAAATAATAAAAATTCATATATTTCACTACATGAATTTAAGTTTTTAGTAACGTTTTTTTTTTTAACGTTTAGCAGTATTTATAAGCATCACTAAAAAATTTATAGTATTTGTGAAAAACGTCACTCAGAGTGTTGGTTATACACGCATCGTAAAAAATAACGATGTTTTTGAAAAAATGCCATCATTTTAGCAGTGTTTCTATCTTTCAAACGTAGCTAAATTAATTACGTTTTTATGAAAAAAATGCAATTGCTTTGGTGGCATTTTGATACTGAAAATACCACTACTTTAGAGGTATTTGTATCTGAAAACGCCTCTATATTAGCTGCGTTTGTATGTTTCAGACATTATTAATTTAGTGACGTTTTTATGAGAAAAATGTCATTCCTTTGGTGGCGTTTATAACTGAAACCGCACTACTTTATAGGCATTTGTATATGAAATGTCTCTATATTAGCGGCGTTTGTATCTTTCAAACATCTCTAATTTAGTGGCATTTTTATGTAAAAAAAGTCATTGTTTTGGTGGCATTTGTAACTGAAATTGTCGCTATTTTAAAGGCATTTGTATATGAAAATACCTTTATATTAGCGATATTTGTATCTTTCAGACATATCTAATTTAGTGGCGTTTTTTGAGAAAAATGCCATTGCTTTGGTGGCGTTTGTATAAAAAAATGTCACTTACTAATGACATTTGTTGGTAAGAGTGCTGTTATTTTTAGTGGCGTTTTATGATACAAATGCCACTAAATTATTCATTTAGCGAAATTGTTAAACACAAACACCGTCATTATGTAAAAATGTAATTGTTTTTTAATTTCTGTTAATAACTTTTAATTTCATTAAAGAGCTTAAATTTAGAAACTGAATTAATATAAACTTAATTCACGTTTAAATATGCATATAATTAATACAAAGTTTAATAATTAGTATAATAACATTCAAATATTTTTAATACATTAAGAAAATAAAAATTAAAATGTATGAAACAGATGACTGCATATATTTTGCTGGCTGTTAATTGATGAAGAAAAATTTTCACCTTGGTCACTAACGTGCTTAAGAACTTATTGAATAATACCATACAATTTTTAATACTTCATTGTAAGCTTTTTTTTTATATTTAAAAATATAAATATGTACTAAATATAATACCTGAGTTGGTGGAGCACCAAGATCATTTTTTGAAAATTATTGTTGCATAAAATTTATAAAATGATCGAATCGATCATACAACTACTGAAATTTTACACGCTCTTGCTTCATTCTAGCATGTTTTTCCT